GCATTATGTTGCTCGGCGGAGCATTGCACATCGGTCTCTACCGTACATGCGCTGGAGTGCCATTCACTGCGATGCAGTGCACTCAAAGTAGGTGTGCCGCCATGCATTGTGACAACGCATGTTACCATGTATGTTTTAGCATGCACAGCACGCAAGTGTGAGCGTGCCCAGAGGGAACGCTGCCGTGTGCTACCTTTGCAAGCTAGAAAATGCAAGTTGACCCCAAACAAGCAGAAAGCAAAGATAGAGAAAGGTCACGGCTCCTTTAAATCAATGCTAGCTACAGGTCAGTGACTCAGAAAACTCTCAGGGTGGATACGCGCTTGCGGTAACGCATTGTGGTGAGGCGGGATAACACAAGTGACATGTCGTGCTCTGCTGAAATACCATTCATTTAAATGGCACCCCAACAATCTAAGGCAATGCAACTGTGTTGTAGCAGGTGTCAATAAATGGTACTGCATCGCCATGCATGGCATTCCAGAAGAGGGGTCAGGTGCGATTTTAGGCATATTAGGGTGCTTCGGGCAGCACATTCATTTTGAATGAGCTGCCGTAACGCAATACACATGCGACATAACTCGTGTCAACACAACACAAAGGAGTAAGGAAGGGCCCGTTCACACCAAAATCGGAAGGAAATCGGAGGGCCATTGACTTGCAATTGCACCTTCCAATTAGTTGCCGTGTGATCTCTTTTTCACTGGATGGGCACCAAAAATGAATGAGAGCAGTTCACACCTCTATGTCTGCTACTTCTTTCCATGGCAACGGAACGGAGCTGTGTGAACTGCTCTCATTCACACCCATTCAATCTTTGGTGCCCTTCCGTTAGAATCTGTTGAAAAATGTATCGCAACGCAGCTGAACCGGTGTGAATAGAACCGGATTTACCATTAGGCAGAGTAAGTACATGCCTACAGGCGCCTTCCATAGAGATACCTACTCACCGCCACAACACCGGCAATAGCAAGGAGGGTGCATTCCCCACAAAATGCACCCTCCTGCACCAAGACCAGTGGCGCCTACAGGAACCGCACGCTTCCGCAAATGCAGGGAGAGGACCCCGGCGCTGCGTAAAGCTGCCTTGCAAAATGCCTGTCTGATGCGTGCAGGTGTTAAGGGCAGCCTTATGCGATGCCGGGGTCCTGCTCTGCATATGTGAAAGCAGGTGGGTCCCGCAGCAGGTACAGGCGCCTCAGGTTAAACAGATTTCCATTCATGTCTACAAGCGCCCTCCATAGAGATACCTACTCACCGCCACAACCACAACACCGGCAATAGCAAGGAGGGTGCATTCCGCACAAAATGCACCCTCCTGCTCCAAGACCAGCGGCGCCTACAGGAACCGCCAGCTTCCGCAAAGGCAGGGGAAGGAATCCAGCACCGCGTAAGGCTGCCTTGTTAAATGCGTCTAATGTGGACAGGTGCTTAGGGCAGCCTTACGTGACGCCGGGGTCCTTCTTTGCATATGTAAAAGCCGGCGGGTCCTGCACCAGGTACGGGCGCCGCCTCAGGCTAAACAGATTTCCATTCGTGCCTACAGGCACCCGAAATGGAAATCTGGTGTTCTGTTAAATACCTGGACTTGTGAGAAATCTGGACCGCGTCACTTCCGGTGATGCGGTCCCAGCAGCTGCAGGCAGCGTGGGCTGAACTGGAAAGCACAGAGAAGCTGATCGGGTCCAAAATTTTAACAGGCTATTTGCTTGCATTGCGCATATGCGGCGAAGCCAGCGGGTCCAGAAAAATTCACAGGCGAGGCACCTGCGGCCACATAATAGTAACACATAAAAAATATAAAAATATATATCTATAGAAAAGTAAATGATTATGTGTTACGTTGTGTGGCCGCAGGCACCTCTCCTGTGAATTTTGTGGACCCAGTGGCTTCCCCGCGCATGCGCAATACAGGCAAATAGCCTGGTAAAACTCTGGACCCGATCAGCTGTTTAACCCCTTAGTGACCAGTGACGTACATAGAACGTCACTGGCAGCGGGCCCATTTAATCAGACTCCCAGCGGACTCTGTTTACATTTGTAGAGCCAGCGGATCGCTTCTACGGGCCAGTAAATTGCCCGCCTCCCCCGCCCGACACCCCCACTGTGTTTCCTGGGCTCCGCTGCCCCTCCTGCAGGCCCGGGACTGGGACATTTCAGGTGTCGTTGGGAAGCTGGGGAGGAGAGCGGTGAATGTCTGTTCACCGATCTCCTCCTCGTTCTATGGGACGGGGAGCAACACGTATTGCATCACTTCCGGTCCCTGAGCTGTCATTGGTCGGCTCCTGAAGCCCAGCAATAAGCTATTGTAGTGCGATCCGCACTTCAATAGCTTATTTCAAGTACAAAGGTGACACAGGGGGTATTTTGGGCCCCCCAGTATCACCTTAAAGAGGACCTGTCACTGCCAATATGCTATCACATGGGGGGCTTGTAAGCCCCGCCAATGTGATAGCAATTAAAGTAAAAAAAAAAAGTTTTTACAAATATTAAATGAAAAGATGTCAAATGAATTCAAAAAATGTGTAAAGTCCCCCGTCCCTGTGAGCACGTGCGTCTTCACGTAAACACGCGTCGGTTGCGCCTACGTACGAAAACAATGATGGAGCTAAACATGTTGGGTAGCACCACACACGTCGGAGTGAGAGCAATAATTCCAGGGCCAATATTTACACGTATCTCCAAACTGATGACCTGTGGGGGCTTTTAAAGCGTCGCCTATGGACTTTTTGGGGTACTGAATTTTGTCGCAGTTTCACAGACGCACACAATTTTTATCCTGGGCATGTTGGGTATCTATTTACTCGTTGTAACCTCATCTTTTATATTTTACGTTAACAATTGGGAATTTTAATGTGTTTTGAGGCACTAAATTAAATTTAAATGCATTTTCACTACATTTTTAGGTTTGATAATACGTTACGCTAATATCATGCAACAAAAAAATTTGCAACCGCCGCCATTTTATTCTACAGGGTCTTGGCTTTCAGAAAATATATAAAAATATATTTTTGGGGGGTTTTAAGTAATTTTCAAGCCTAAAATGTGGATTATAACATGGGTGCAAACATTTTTTTAAAAGGGCCTCGGTCATTAAGGGGCAGCTGATGTAATGTTTACTGATGTTTACTGCGCCTGCAACTGCGACATGGTGCAGGTTTCTAACACATTCCAGCACACTGACAGAACCCCTGACCCTGGGTGTGAATGGTCCCTAAATCTAGAGCATTAGCACGGGACACGACATTTTCAGAAGAAGAGGTCAGCGATCACTCATGACAACTGCACTGCCAGAGTCCATTCACGCACATAACCCTAAAGTGCGTGGAAATATACGTGCGTTGCGCAGCGGTCAGGGGCGTCCCGAGGCCGGGTGTCACCCGGAGCGGTTACCAGGTGACACCCTGCCGTGACGTCATCGTGCATGTGCGTGACGTCACCATGCTCGTGCGCGATAACATCGCGCATGCGCGGCGATCTTATTGATATCTGCCGGCTGCCATCTTAGTGATGGAGGCCGGCAGAGAGAGGAGGGGACAGTCACCTGGTGGGATAAAGTATGCTGCCGGGTCCCCTCCTCTCTCCCGGAACTGTCGGGCGCTCTGTCCATGACCGAGTGCCTGACTTTTCAGAGGGGGTGACACCAAAATGACTGTCTGTCATTTTTGTGTCACCCCTCCATTGGTGTTACCCGTGTGTGGGCCGCACCCCCCTTGTGAAGCCACTGGCAGCGGTACCAGGTGTATTGAAAATTACTTTATAGCTGATATGAGATTTTAGAGATTGGGTTTACATCTCCTTAAATAAAAAAAAAAAAGCCAATTACATAAGATAAAACCCAAAATCTTCTCCACGACTAGGTGGGGGTGGAAAATTCCCCCAAACTTTGCTCCAGCTTCGCGGAGCAGCGCTCCCTCCATAGAAGAACGGACAACAGCTACCTCTAGTGGCCGTCCGCGGAACTGCCGCCTCCGTCATCGCCGCTTTGCAACAGGTTGGAGAGCTCGCTCGCTCGCTGGTGAACACTCCGCCGCTCAGATCGCACCCTAGGCAGTGGCGGAGCCTGGAGCAACCCCGGAACCGAACCGAGACTACCGCGACACCAAACGCTTCTTCCTGCGGCTGGAGACCCCAACAAAGGTCAGGCTGTTACAGGAAACGCTTGGGGATTTTGTAGCTCATAGGCAGAGAGCAATCCAGGGTTTAAAGGGCGCTTGAAGCTGGTCTTACTCAGGATCAGTGCAGACAGGTGGATCCTCTGCCAGTTGATGGGAATAGGGGGCAATGCTGGCGCTGTATGAGAAGGTGCATGGGCTCATCCTCCATCTGCTCAGGGGCTACAGCTGTTGGGGGTGCCATGGCTGGGCATGAAAGTGGCATCATTTCTGCACTGCAGGGACTGCCAAAGTGGCGTCCTGTTCCTCCTGCTGTCAAAGCTTTTGGCTCAACCCCACAGAAACCTGATGAGGAAGCCTGCAGGGTAATGCATTTGTATTTTTTGGAAGTGCCCTCTTGTAATGTGATGAGTGTACAGAGCTGGGGAGGAGGAGAGGAAAGTTGCTGATCAATATTATCCAGAGGAAGCCAAAGATCTCCAGGGCTGGGTGTGAATGATGGGGGTGGTGATACCTTGCTGGTGGGTGATTCTAAT